CCCCAGTTCTGGGTATGGACACCCAAAACATCCCAAATCCACTCAAAACATCCCAAATTCGGAGTTTAGCCACTCAAAACATTCCCAGTTCTGAATTTAGCCACCCCAAACATCCCAAATCCCTCAAAACATCCCAAATTCTGAGTTTATCCACTCAAAACATCCCAAATTCTGAGTTTATCCACTCAAAACATCCCAAATTCTAAGTTTGTCTACCCCAAACATCCCCAATTCCGAGTTTAGCCACCCCAAGCACCCCCAATTATGAGTTTAGCCACCCAAAACATCCGAAATCCACTCAGAACATCCCAAATTCTGAGTCCATCCAATCAAAACACCCCCAAATCTGAATTTATCCACCCCCAACTCTGAGTTTTGCCATCCCCCAAGCCCCTAAAAATGGATTTTAAACAGAGGGGATGACTTCATCCATCAGCCACACAGCTGAGCAGCCACCAGCGCCCGGAGCTGTTTCTCTTTAGGTTTGTTTATTTTCTTTTCAAGCAACATCTCAACACCCACCACTCCTCCTGCTCCAAAAACACCCTTTTGTCTGTCTCCTCTAAAATAAAAGCAGCTATTTACAACACCAGCAAGAACAAACCAAATCACTGAGCCTCACTTCTCAGTTTTAGGAACGTCCTGTATTTTTTTCCCCACCATCCACAACCTGCATACTCCTCCAAATTTAAATATATTTATTTAATAAATATATCTAATATTATAAATTAAAATTAACCCCAAAATTAAATAAATTCATTCCCAAAAAAAGCTCTTGGAGGCAAAGGCTTTGTCTTCTCCCACCAGCCAACACATCAGGCAGCTGGACATGAGTGGGCTGTAATTGATTAGAGTTTGTGATTTAATTTAAAAGCATTTGGAAGAAGATATTAATCTCAGAGCTCTGAAGGGGAGAGGGACGTGGTGGGGAGAAAAACAGATTTAATTCCCTGGGCAACTGCACTAAAAGGTACCATGGAATTCCCAGGGGCTTTGCCACAAACCCCATCCAGAAGTGACAAAGGAGGAGAAGTGGGATAATGTGGCAGCACCATCCCTGTGAAAAGTGTTTTTACAGCACAAAAAAAACCTTAAAAATAGCTCAATTCCCTCTTTTTGCCTCATTTGTGGGATGCCAGCCTCACCCAGGTGAACTGCTGGGCTCGGGGTGGGATTTTGGGGTGTCCTGAGCATGGCCAGGAGTTGTTGGACTTTCCCCTTTCAGGATATCCCAGATTTTAAGGATGTGCCCAGGCAGGTACAAGTGGAATAAAACTGATTTTCCTGAGCACGCAGGAAAAGCATTTCCCCCAAAATTCTCCCAAACAGAGAAAGGAGGATTCAAGGAGGGAAATGAGACAGCTCTGAGTGGGAATCAGACTCTGCCACTCAACCCCACCAAAGTCTCCTCCCAGGGACGAGGTTGGGTTTAAAGGTGAACCAGGCTCAAGTCAGAACTGAGAGGAAAACACCCAGATTGTCCTGGGCTGGCTGGTTTGTTTGTCTGGAATCCTCCAGGAAGATTCCAAGCTCCCTGCCCCGTTTAAAAAGCACCCAAAGGTGGGAATTCCTGACTTGCCTCAGCTACATTAACCCAACCTCATTAAACTCCACCAGCTCGGGGGTTGTTTTCTGAGCAGGGAATCAAACATTACCCAGCTGACCATCTGGAGATCTGCAGAGAGCTCCAGGAGAAGCTGTAAGTGATAAAAAGAGCTGAAAGCCCAAATTTGTAGGGATTTGTCCTGGATTTTGACATTTCCCAAGAGGGAAATTCAGGGGTTACCTGAACTGCAATCCAGCTGGCGTTCACAGCGTGCTCCCCAAACGGCCCAAACCCTGCAAGAGAGGGAAAATTCACAGATTTGACTCAAGTTGCAAAGAGGTTTGAGTTTTTCTGGAAAAAAAAAAACCCAAAAAAACTTCCACTTTACCTCTCAATCCTTATTTCTTTACACCTGAGTATCAAACAAGGCACCAGCACTGAAATATTTCAACTCCAGCCTTGTACAATGAAGGAAAATAATAACTTGCTTGAAAAGAAACTTGTTTTTTTTTTTTTTCTTGGGGAGCAGAATTTTCCTTCCTGCCCAGGTTAGAAAAATTGGTTATCACCAGCTAACTTGCCCGATGGCACAGAATTAGAATCATGATTGGATTTTCTATTCCTGATTGCTTCAGCCCACAGCAGATGCTTCCACAAGCCTGCCTCAAATGTTCCTTCCCCGCTCAGGGTCCTCTCCAAGATCTTCGTTAGCATTAATTACACCTCCCAAGGAAACAAACAGAGCTGTTGACAGCACACCCACAGCCCAGCAAAGGCTACCAGGGTGTTACCAAAACCACTTCCCTCAGCACCTCCAAATTCCTAATGAATAACTTTGGAGTTAACTGGTAATCCATAACACCTTTTTATCATTTTTTTTTTCCCCTGAGCAAGCACACAAAGGTTGGGCAATTTATCTGGGCGTAACGTCGATACGCTTTAATTTCAGATGTCAGCCTTGCCCTCCGAGCCTGCTGCAATTAGGAGACATAAATTCTGCCCAGCCCCTGAAAGGATCCGAGAGGGACCACAAATATCAGCTGACACCTTAATGGAAATGTGGGGTTTGCCCTTCCCCGGGCTGCACCTCAGCAGGAATTTCCCAAGCGTGGGCTCGTCCACGCCCGTGGAGCTCAGCCCGCCTCGCCAAAATAAATATTCCCCACAAAACCCAAAAAGCTGGGGGTGTTTTCCTGCGAGCAGAACTGCAGGGGTGTGAGACAAACCCTGACAGGGGGAAGGAGGCAAATTAATGCCTTGCCAGCTGTTTCTGCAAGTCCCACACGGCTCCCTGGAGCTGAACTCCCAAATAAAGCGTGACGATCCCATAAAAAGAAACGAAATCCACGTTTCAGCAATAAAAAAGGCTGGAATTCCACAGGTGCCCAGGCAGAGGGCAGGATTCCCTGGCTCCAAATTCCAAACCCAAGTGGCACAAACACAGCTGGGGTTATCCCTGCTCTGGGGAACAGAGGGAACTTTGTGGGCAGCGCATCCAGCCCTGCAAGGCTCATTAGCACTAAACCAGCTGCAGGGATGGCCGTGGGATTATCTCCTTAACGAGTTCTAAAAAAGAAATTGTGCACAAATAACGTTTATCCTCGGGCAGCCCGGGCTGGGAACCCACAGGGAACACGATCCCCCAGTGCTGAACGGAATTCCTCCTGACATCCACAGAGTTATCAGATCACAAGGCAACCGCTGCCTTTTCGCAACCAGACCTCACTGAAATTTACCCAAAAAAAAAAAAAAAAGGGAAAAAAAAGGAGCGTGGAGGAGCCTGGAGCAGCAGAACGTCTCCTGACGCAAGTTTTCTGTTTAGTCACCGCCGATTTGGGGCTGGGAAAGGCAGGATCTGCCACCTGCTCCCTGCCAAAGGCACTTTCTGCCCGTGGTTACGGCTGCCCCGCCATTCACACGGCCCCGGCTTCAGCTGCTGGGGGAGACCTGAATAGTTGGGGCCAGTTCCCCATTTGTCACAGGGCGGCCTCACCCACAAATCACCCCGGGCTGCCTTTGTACCCCGGGAGGGGCTGACACCGCCGGGGCCTCTCGCTCATTCTTCCCTTGCAGAGCCTCGGGGCTGCCTTGGGGGGCAGCTCCCACACCTTGGGGG